ATGCCATCATTTAACCCATTATTTTGTATGCTAACAGTACAGTGCTGGTTAGTTTTAATTGTCACCTTGACTCAACCCAGACTCACTTGGGAAGAAAGTCTTGAAGAGGAAATAGCCAGGTCAGATTGGCTTGAGAGTTTATCTGTGGGAATTGTCTTGATTGTCTGTGGAGGTGGAAAGACCCAGGCTCTGGCAACACCATTTCACCAGGCTGGGCCCTGGACTGGACAGGACTGTATAAGAGAAAACAAAGCTAGAGAGTACTATGAAGGCAAGCAGATATGGCCCAGGTTTTAATTATCTTGTCTGTGGATGTGACTCTTGAAGCTCCTGTCTGAACTTCCCCTCAGTAACAGACTGGAACCTGGAATTGCAAGCCTTTTCTCCTGTGTGTCACTTCTTCCCCCCAGATAGTTTAGCAGTATCAGCAATGAAACTAAGAATTTAAAACAAGAGCAAAAAAACCTTTTAAAAAATGTTGATCTTTTGTTTTGAGATGACTAGTTACATCTCCAAACAATTAGGGAATAACCTTACATATTTGATTATATCCAGTCACTGTGTCTCTAGTGTGTCCAGTAAATATAGAAGATGCTGTTCTGGTGCAGACTTTCTAGCAGACCAAGCAGACATTCTTTCAGAATTTTATAGAAATAAACTCTTCTCATCTCCTTAAGGAGTAGTTCCTTGGCCCTGACATGATGAAGAATGTCCTTTCACAGCTTTGAAAGGCAGAAGTTTGAAATCAGGTATTGAGCAGCATCGTGATTCTCTGGGCTCTGTGAGCGGACACTTGCCTGCCTCTTACCTCTCTGATGGCTCTGGGAAAGGATGCTCTTGACTGCCTTACCCCTCTGATGGCTCTGTGAGTGGACGCTTGCCTGCCTCTTACCCCTCTGATGGCTCTGGGAGGGGATTCTTGCCTACCTCTTACCCCTCTGATGGCTCTGGGAGGGGATTCTTGCCTATCTCTTACCCTCTGATGGCTCTGTGAGTGGACGCTTGCCTGCCTCTTACCCCTCTGATGGCTCTGGGAGGGGATTCTTGCCTATCTCTTATCCCTCTGATGGCTCTGGGAGGGGATGCTTGCCTGCCTTACTCCTCTGAAAGTTTCAAGTATTTCTTGGCTTGGGTTTATGTTGCTGTCATCTCAGCCTCCATGCTCACATAGTTCTTTTCTCTCGGTGCTGTCTTTTGTTCTTCCATCTGTTTTACAACAATGTTCGACTTTGGAATTGGAACCCACCCCAGTCAATCCAGGACAATCATCTCATTTCAGGGCCCTTAAGATGATCCCATCTGAATTCACCTCCGAGGGATTACAAAGTGGCTGGGGTGGTACCATTTAACCTATTACACTCAGCAGAGTGAGCCTACTTATACTTTCACAGGGTACATGTAGCAACTGAGAGGAGGAGAGCTTAAGGGACTGGTCTGAGGTTTCCTAGTTAATAAACTGTGAACATAAGACTCATATTTACTTCAAGAAAAACAAACAAACAAACAAACAACGACAAAAAAACCTCTTTCTTAAAACAGTGATAGTTTCCAGAATTTTACATTTGAATGCCAAAGATAATTTCTAGGATCCATTCTTTACTGGACTATCTTGTACCACTGACAACTTAGATGCACCAGAATTCCTGCTTCAGGCAGCCATTCTATAGTTAGTCATATCTGATAAGGCCGTTTATTGCACACTGTATTAATTTGCTTTTTTCATGACTGTGACAAAATGCCTGAGGAAAACAAAAGAGGGAAGACAGGTGTCTTTCAGATTGCGGCTTCAGAGATGGCAGTCCGTGGTACTTTGCTCCTTTGCTTCTGGGATTGTGCACAGAGGGGCAGAACATCACAGTAGATTAATGTTGTAAGCAAAGTGACTCACCTCACAAGGGACAGTAGGCAGAGAGACAAGGATGGAGCTCAGGGTAAGACATAGCAGGAAATAGGCCACAAGAGCACTAGCACATCCCGACACCTACTTCTTTCTTTTATTTCTTTTTTTACATATTCACTTATCGTGTGTCCATGTGTGTGTGTACGTATGGCATAGCACACATGTGAAATTCAAAGGACAATTTGTGGACGTCAATTATTTCCTACCTCATGGGTTCTAGGGATCCAACTTGAGTCTTTAGGCTTGGCAGCAAGTGCCTTTGCCAGCTGAGCCATTTGGCTGGTCCCTATTAGTTGTTGTTAAAGTTTTCTCCTTTTTCTTTGTTGTTGTTTTGAAACAAGGTCTTACTTCCTAATCCAGGGTGGCCTGGAATTTATGGCAATCCTCCAGCCTTAAAATTTCAAGTGTTAGCATTACAAGGGTTAGGAATGGTGTTGCTATGATGAAATACCATGACCAAAAGCAAGTTGGGGAGCAAAGGGTTTATTTGGTCCACACTTCCATATCACTGTTCATTATTGAAGCCAGTCAGGACAGGGACTCACGCAGGGCAGGAACTAGGAAGCAGGAGCTGATGCAGAGGCCATGGAGGGGTGATGCTTATTGGCTGGCTTTACATGACTTGCTCAGCCTGCTTTCTCATAGAACCCAGGACCAGCACAATGGACTGAGCCTTCCCATCAATCACTAGTTAAGAAAATGCCTTACAGCCTGACCTCGTGGAGGCATTTTCTCAATTGAAGTTCCCTTCTCTCACAAGACTTTTGCTTGTGTCAAGTTGACATAAAACTGTCCATCATGGTGAGCCACCATGACTGGTTCAATCTATTTCTCCAAAGTTCCTTTCTGTAGAGTTTCTGCTACCTCCCAAGCATACCATCAGGTCATCAAATCCATAACTAGATTTTGTCTGTCCCTTTACATCCTAAAGCCCTGTATCTAAATACTGCACCAGGGACAAAACATAGGAGTCTTTTAAGGGATCATTTCATATTCAAGCCATAACACAGAATTTATAATAAAAAATTATTGAAAATAACAATGTCTTCTTATAGGAGATTAATCCTTTGTGGCCCACCCATATGTATCCAATGTAGCCCTTTTAAAATGAACCATATCTAAAATTACATATGAAATTTTCTAAAAGAATAGATCTTGGGTAGTCTCAGAAAAATAAGGAACGTTATGAAATGGATAGGCTAATGAATTATTGTGACAATCACTTTCTAGTCTGTGCCTATTTCTTTTCTTCTCTCTCTCTTTCAAGACAGTGTTTCTCTGTATTGTTTTGGAACCTGTCCTGAAACTCACTCTATAGACCAGGCTGGCCTCGAACGCATAGAGATCTGCCTGCCTCTGCCTCCCCTATGCTGGGATTAAAGGCATGAGCCACCAATGCCCAGTTAGCCTGTGCCCATTTCAAACTAACATGTAGCACGTTTTGCATGCTATATATACACATGTATCTGTTAGCCATCCCTTGATAAGCCTGTGGAAATGAAGGTTAAAGTGGAGCATGCCTGAATTGGTGTGGAAGAGGTTCATTTAAGACTCAGAGTGGTGTGTGTAAAGTGTGAGCGCTTCATCCACAGCAGAAGAACAAAAATGTGGCGCATTTATTGAGTATTTTAGAAAGATGTCATAAACTTGTAACTGGATTTGCCTTTGATAAAAAGAATTGTGGAGCAAAGTGTGGGGATGGAAGAAGCTTTATGTTATGAATGCTACCGTGTTGTTTGAAGTTACCTTGCTATAGATATAGAGCAAGGTGGGAGGTACAGGAAGAAAGAGAGAGGAGGCTAATTTTCACTTAGTTTAATTTTTATTTTATTTTTTATCCCCTCTTTCTTTTTTATTTTTTGAGACAGTCTTACTATGTAACTCAGGCTGGCCCCCAACTCAAACAGCTTCTTGAGACTGGTATATGCAACCCTGCTTTCCAATTTTTTTAGCTTTGTTTCTTCTTTCTTCAGACAATTCAATACTTCCCAAACAAAGCATACCTTTCTCTCTCTCTCTCTCTCTCTCTCTCTCTCTCTCTCTCTCTCTCTCTCTCTCTCTCATCATTTTTGTGTGTTTTCTGCATATAGAAACCCCACCACTCCACTGTTCCCCTGTGTAACCCCTTGGTTACAGTGTTGGAACCTACCCCTTCTTCTGTCTTCGCTCAGAAGCTCTGAGCTTTGCTTTGAATTATAGTTCTGTTTCTCAGTTGGCCACTTTTGTTAAATTAGCTCTTGTAGGAGCGTATGTATCTTGGTGGTTTGTATGCTCTCTAAGCACCAGAACAGAGATTTGCTGAACACATATCATTGACCACAGAATTTAAATGGGAGAGTCATCTAGGAAAAGCTATGTTTTGTATGATGACCAGTTTCAAGGGAGCCAGAAAAATTACATATGGCCAAATATATGAATCCCACTTAACGTAACTATCTAGAGGAGCCAATGTAATTCCAAAGCTCTGCATTAAATCTGTGCTATGCAAAGTAAGGTAAGCACATGGCATGCACATGGTTACGAAGTGACATTTGAAAAAACACTGCAGATAGCACGAGAAAAGAAAGCTGTTCAATTACAGCCTTTGATGTTTGTACTTGTTTGTGTCCCATCCAAACAGAGCAGACCCATATGTAAGCACTATGTAAGCACTAATTCCATCATGGAGTAAGGTGTGTGGAAGGTTGGGACTACCAGCCTCTCACTGTCCCACCCCAGACTCAACTCTATGCAAATCTCACTGTTGTTTAACAACCATATCCTTTCGAAGTAAACTGTCCCAAATCACATTATAAAAGCACCTCACTGTTGCGGCTTAGTCTTCTTTCATTTGAAAGTATTTTCCCTTGTTCCGGGCCAGTGGGAGCAGAGGATCATACTACTCAATGTATATAACTTCTCTATATCTTAAAAGTATTTCATCGTAGTTAACTATAACCCACCTTCAATGACCAATAGGACCCGCTTTTCATGCTTCTAGGAGACTGATACTCAATTTGGATCTCCATAAATAGGCACATTGGTGTCAGACCCAACCCATTTCTGCTGACCTTATGATGTTGTCAAATATTATAAAATGATGAAGTTCACTTCGACTTACTGTGAGTGCAGTTTCATATTCTCCAGCAGCCAAGTGGGCTGAGCCCAGGTAGAGAGCAGCTTCCCCTTCCATGCTCCTGTCACTTCCTGAAGTGAAGATGTAGAGAAGTCACAAGGTGTTGGGGACAGATTCATCATACAGACAAAAACCCTCATCACTCAAGACAATAGACAGTCTCTCTTTTAAAAACGTACACACTTTTCAATGATCCTTGAAACTAACCTGCATGAAAAAACAAAAAGTGGTGTGTGTGTGTGAGTATGTGTGTATTAAGTAAAATTTATCTGGGTTTCAAATGATAGCTGGTGATACTTTAGCCTTATAATTATAAGGACTTCCCTCTATATACACTGTCAAGTATGTAGTCTCCACACATCATAGATTGTTTAAAATAGTTTACCATGTGTAGACCTACAGTTGTTCAGCATGTCTGTGACAGCTTATATGAAACAACCAGCAACATGCAACAGCTTGACTGGTTGCATACTCCTGTCAAACATCTATTCTTCCAACACACACACATGATTAACAAATTAAGAATGTTGGTCTGATGATGTTCAACTCAGAATTGCTGGTTCAAGATTATATATGAACACCCAGCTCCTTGGTACAGAAGTCCTTGCACTTATGGAAAAATGCTTTCCTTCACTAATCATGCTTTTTCCTTCCTAATTTCTGTAATACGTGTACTTCAGCAGTGATCCAATTCTTTCCAAAGGCAAAAGGTGCAATGTGTGGGTCAGTAAGGGGCATGGAATACTACTGATGCTTGCGTAGCTTATTTATATTACTATGAAAACGTAATGTATAAATTTTATGTATTACAAACAACCATTAAAAGTTCTCTTTAACATAAGAACACTATTCTTTTTCTGCTTTTAGATGTCATTGACTTCCATAGTTATCCAAGTCCTGGAAATGCAGAAGCTGACAATTTCTGTTGGCTTAGGTCTCTGAACAGTAACTCCAGGTGTCTGAATCCTGGATTCTAATCAGAAAGGATTTCAAGAGTTAGCAGTCCTTGCTGTGTTCAGGCTCCACTGGTGAGGATGTAAGATGTGAAGGAAGACAGACAGCAAATGCCTCCGACAATACCTGTTTTTGTTTTCTAGCTATTTCACGGACTACAGAGAACTATGCCACAAGATCTCACACTTCAGCAGACTTGATGATCTGTGAGCCAGTCTGGTGATTTTTAACTTATAGTCCAGCAGAGTCCTAATTATGTTTACAGGCCATAGGACAGGGGAAGGAAAGGTAAAGTAGGAGAAGGTGGCAGCTGTGGAGAGTGAGCCCCTGGATAATTAGAAGTTGGTTGTGTGTGGTTTGTATTTGCTGAAATAAATTATTGGTGTGGGAGAGTAAGACAAAAGATTGCATATTTTCTTCCTATGTGTGTGGAAACACACACACACACAATATGAAAGCAGAAGGGGAGATTTTTGGGGGTAAGGATGGGGATCTGTGAGAGGCAAGGAGTAAGGCAAAAAAGGGAGCAAATATAAACAAATAAAACGATGTATGAAAATGTCATAATAAAATGCAAATGGTATAGTAATTCTATAATGAGACCAATTACCCAGTGTGCTACATCATGGTCATTTGTATCTAATTATGGTGGGGTGGGGGTGGGCTCACCAAAGAAGAGGTGAGAAAGGGAACTCTACCCATGATGTCACATTTTGGAGCAACTCCTTGAAAGTCAGGTGCTCGGGTGCCTGCACCTGTCCCTGGCACACCGAATAAATAAGTGAATAGGTACATAAACATCAGATAGCCCTTAGCATGGTAACCTTCCCTGTTTTAATAGCTGATACTGAGCTGTGACAAAGTGACAGCAGTGAAATAACAGAAAAGTACCAGTAACAGCAGAACAGAAGCAATTTGTAGGGTGGGGTGGGGACAGGAAGCGGGACAGAAAGTGGTAAGACACTGGCAGTAAGTGTCCTGGGGGAGCACAGCAAGAGAAGGGAGCCCTGAGGTGAGAGGGCTCATTAGGAAGACCTCAGGAAAAGATGGCACCCACACTCCAATGGAATTAGCTGCGCGAATCAGAAACAATCTGGGGACCTCACAGCCACGTGGAAATTAACTGCCCTGCTAAGTCATCACAGGGGAAAAAGAAAAAAGCTTCGAGGTGAACTACAAAATACAGAGTACTATGAGATGGATGAAAATGAAAAGGCAGCAAACAGAAAGCCAGATAAAGGGTCACACACAATGGTGTTATGGATGCTCGAGGTATCTATCATTATGATGAAGCACCATGACCAAAAGCAGCTTGGGAGGGGTTTACCTCAGCGTGTAGTTTACAGTTCATCACTGAGCACAGGAACCAGGAGGCAGGAACTGATGCAAGGAACATGGAGGAATGCTGCTTACTAACTTGCTGCCATGGCTTGCTTAGTTTGCTTTCTTATATCATCCAGGACAATCTGCCTGAAGTGGCACTGCCCACAGTGAACGGGGCCCTCCCACATCGATTGTCAACCAAGAAAATGCCCCACAGAAAAAAAATGCCACATCCTCAAATGGTTATATTCAGCATTATGGTAGATGTTTGGACGTTGATTTCAACTTCTGTCTTTGCTGCTTTCAGCAAATGATACACATGGATTGTTCTGTGTCAGGGGCATAGAAGAGTAAATGACTTAAGCTATACACTAGCTTAAGTTGAAAGGATGATTACATGGGAAACCCAGGCCATAAGGCTGAAAATAAAAAAAGAAAAAAGAAAAGAAAAAAAGAAAATTTCCCACAGAGTTGACCCCAGACAAATCTGGCGGGGAGTTTTCTCAGTTGAGGCTCTCTCTCCCTAGATGTCCCATGTCAATAGCAACAACATCAAAAGCTAACCAGCACAATGAACACATGTATCTACATTTAAAAACAAGTAAGTTTCTTCCTGACTAACCAAAGAACAGTGAACTAAGTGCAAAACAAGCAGAAACAAAGAAAAAAAAAAAACAACAGAGAAAATCAACAACAAAACCCCCACCAATTAAATAAAGTTAACAAAACATTAGCTACACTGAGCAAGGCATAGAAAGAAAGAAGGAACTCAAATTCTTACTTTGCAATTAGGGATGGAAGAGGGGAAATTATTATAGACCTTATGATTATGAGAGAGTTATGTGGATAAGTTTATAACAAGTTACATAATCTAAATTAAAAATATCCTTGGAAGATGCACTGAAATTAACTCAAAAAAAAAAAAAAAAAAGGAAGAAGAGGAGAAGAGAGGAAAAAAGGAAGCAGAAGAAGGAGAAGGAGGAGACAAAGAAGGACGAGAAGGAGGAGGAAGAGGAGGAGGAGAAAAAGGGAGAGGAGGAGGAGGAGAAATCTCTGCTACAGCAAGCAAAGTACCTGAACAGATTGCTACAGAAAACACACTACAAAGAGAAATCTAGTCCTAGCACCTTCAGTGGAAATCTACACCAAACACTGAAGGAAGAATTCTATGAATCACTTACAATCTCTTAAAAGCAGACCCCAGAAAACATTTCCAAAGCATTCTTTAGAAGGTCAGTGCTTTGACACAAAGACACCCCTGGAGTCCAAATCTGGAAACCCTAGGAAGAGTGGTCTCTATTAAATATGGGGCAGGGGAGTACAGATACAACACGTGCACACATGCTCACACACACACACATACACATACAACACACACACACATTCAATATGCACACAATCTAGGAATATCATGCCTTTCGGGTGCCATTATAGGTGCAGAGGCAAATATATTGCTACACACACACACACACACACACACACACACACACCTAGCATAGTGAATCTAATGACATAAGAAAGACTGCACAATCGTGATCAAATAAGATTTATTCTAGGAATCTAAGCTTGGTTCAAAATTCAAAAATCAGTACTTCCACATTAATAACAGCAAATTCTTAATCCTTGCAAATGATGCAAAAAAGAAAAGAAAAAACCTCTTAGCAAAATCCAGTTCCTTTTACCCTAAAACCCTCAGTAAACCTGGAATGCAGGAAACTTGCTTAATGTTTGAATGGATATCTACAAAACCTTCATAGCCAATATCATGTTTAGTATGAGGAGCTGGAAACTTGGCTCTAAGAGTAGAAAGAGGGCAATGATGTCCCTTGTCACCACTTCCAGGTTCTAGTTAAGGGAACTAATAAAGCTAAAGAGAAAAAAGCTGTGCTTAGATCCATGGTCTATTTGCATGATCAGGGGTGTGTGTTTGTGTGAGCAGATGTGTGAGTGAGCAGGCATGTGCGTTTGTGTGAGCAGGCATGTGCGTTTGTGTGAGCAGGCAGGTGTGTTTGTGTGAGCAGGCATGTGCGTTTGTGTGAGCAGGCATGTGTGTTTGTGTGAGCAGGCATGTGTGTTTGTGTGAGCAGGCAGGTGTGTTTGTGTGAGCAGGCATGTATGTTTGTGTGAGCAGGCAGGTGTGTTTGTGTGAACAGGCAGGTGTGTTTGTGTAAGCAGGCATGTGTGTTTGTGTGAGCAGGCATGTGTGTTTGTGTGAGCAGGCAGGTGTGTTTGTGTGAGCAGGCATGTATGTTTGTGTGAGCAGGCAGGTGTGTTTGTGTGAGCAGGCAGGTGTGTTTGTGTAAGCAGGCATGTGTGTTTGTGTGAGCAGGCATGTGTGTTTGTGTGAGCAGGCAGGTGTGTTTGTGTGAGCAGGCAGGAGTGTTTGTGTGAGCAGGCATATGTGCTGAAATCTGTAAAATATAAGGTTAGACCCTTTCACAACACACAAACAAATAACCTGTGGATCTAAATATGTCCAAACCATTAAAGCTCTCATATCAAGTGCAGAAAGTCACTGGGGGCCTTGGATTAGTCAAAGTCTTCTTAGTTAAAATACTTAATCTCACACACACACACACACACACACACACACACACACACACACACACACTGAATTTGATCAAAATTAAAAACTTGCACTTTGCTGAATACCACCGGAAGGTGGAAGAGAGAAAACATTTTCAAATCAGATATCTGATGAAAGGTTCTCATTACGAACAAGGAATTTTAACAACTCAATAATAGAGAAATAACACACCTGAAATATGCAAAGATGGTGGGAATGGCCAGTGAAGACCACTTTGCAAGCCAGAGCTCCCCAGAAAGAAGCATGGAGTTACCATGTAACCCAACAATTCTTTTAGCTGTGGACTGAAGAGAGCCCCACTGAGGCAATGAAACAATTCACATGCCCATCAAATGATGAGCAAGTAAAGAAAGTATGAGAAAACCATACAGCACAGTGACACTTGGTACATGTATGAAGGAAGGAAGCCGAGATATATATTACAAGTTGGATGCTCCTTCAAGTGCCATGCTTCCTGGATGCTGTCAGGCTGGTGCTCAACTTGCACATTACACCATGGTGCCCTGGACAAAGACTTGGGCCCTAGTGGATGCTACCATCTCTTAAATACTATCTAAGGCCAATGTGGGAGCATGGGCTTCCTGACTACCCATTCCCTTTTCTGAGAACTATTATCGACACACAGAAAATGCAAACTTAAAGTGTAATACCTTCTCCTAGTGTACACGCCTATCCATTGTGATTCTTGTATAACTTCCTCTGTGATCAAAATTTGCTATTGACATTGATCCAAGTGCTAAGGATTTGTGTCCCCTTTACTGCCCCCTGGAGAAAACATGGCCATCATTTATGCAGAAGTGGTTAATTTGATGGAATTTATATTTTAGTGATAATGAGTTCCTTTAAATATTTCAACTAAGGTTATTTAAAAAATAACAGAAAAATGAGCTCAAATATTTCCTTTTCCTCTATACTAAGTTAAAATCATACCCCAGATTAGTCCTATTTGTCCCAAATAAGCCTAACTACCTAACAACTACCTAACAAATTAATCCACTAAATATGTTCATGAATCAATAAACTTTAGTTTAAGATTACAACTCCTTTTTCCCCTCGATGGAAAAACTACTCTGTTAGAAAATTACTGTATAATGCTGTGGTGAGGAAAGGGGTATTTTGTCTTGGCATGTTATGAATTAAAAGTTTATAAGAATATGCTCCATTTTCATTATGTTTTATACCGATGATGATGCTGTAAGACATTAAGGGTATGAGCAGCTTTCCCAAAAGCATTTTACTGCTGAAAGTATGGATGAGCTCCCAGGGGCATGCTGTCAGTCTGCACACTCTGATGCTGCTAGTCTGGGGTGGGACAGAGTGTGACTTTCACAGCATGTCTCCTGGTGGTGTTGGTAATGCCAGTCCAAAGGCCGAGCTTTGAGAGGGCAACGGTCTAAAGTATATTGCAGTGTTATATCCTTGTTACTTCTAACTAAACATTAGCACAATTTCCCAAGTGTCTACCTATAGGGAATTTATAAACAATAAGGAGTTTCTCAGATTGCAAAGAACACACAACCCACCCCATCCCCAAACACACTTACTTGAAGATGATCTTATCTCCTCTTTGTGGGTTCCTTGTTTTACAACATTCCCCCCAGTGGATTGTAATTTTGGAAATAAAGCTTTCAAGAAACTAATGGATTTCTCATTGTCAGCACTAAGGCCCCTACCCCTGCCTTACAGCGAAATCTGAAAGCATATTGATGGCATTTGTCTTTGCATTTCATAGGAAATAATTACCCTAACACTTGACAATTTTTACTCCTCTCCTGGGAGAACCAGTATCTGTCCATTAAAGGAAACAGTGTGAGAGAATCTCCTCCACCCACCTTCCTTGGCTATTTCAGAAGCTTTTATTAGAATTTTGATGGCCTGTTTGTATTCTTTGTTCTCCAGCATTCTGTCTGAGAGCAATCTGTAGGTCCTCACGAGACTTTCACAGGCCAGCAGGTTGAGAAATTGACCTGTCTCATCCTTCCATATCCGCCCCTGTGTCAGCTCATGGAATGCTTCATAATGCTGGGCAGCTTCCAGAAGCTCACCTGAAAAAGAAAAGCCATTCGTAGATATAAAGCACAGGCCAGAAACAACTTGTTTTAAATAATTTGCGTGTGTGTTAGTATTACTCAAAAATGGGGAGAGATGCGGTGGATACACGTGTCATCACTACTTGTAAAGGGTGGGAAGGAAGGCAGGAAAATGCAGTTGAAAGGAGTTGAAGTAGAAAAGGATCTCCCGCTAATGGGGCCTCATATTCAGCAGTGAATTCTAGTTAGACATCTCCAAAGGGTGTGGGCCTCAGTCAGTAGAAATGACTGCCACTGTGCAAGCTCAGAGACAGCACAAAGGCCCACCAGCGGTTACTAGCCTCATTACATTGGCTGGTGTCTCTAGAACAGTTTGATGGTGTGGAATTCACATGGCTCCATTTTACAGAAGGGGCAGTGGAGGCTCAGCTCAACATTGTGTTCTTACAGGGTGCAGAACTATAAAGATTTTCAGAGCCCATGCTTGCTGCCATTATCCTCATTGCTTTCCAGAGGTATCAATCATCTCACTTTCAGGGAGTGTTTAGGTGTCATGACAAGAATACACCACCTACACATTTCAGATGAGCACAGGGTTTTAAACCTGCTTCTGGAAGGCTGAAGGAGGCACCTCTGTCATCTGCCTAGTCCTGGATGATGTGAACCTTGTTGCACTATTGCTCTAGAGTGTATCTTATCAGCCACTCCCAAAGGTCTCTTCCCAAAACTCTAAATTAGCCTTAAACCATTGCATTCCAAAATATGAGGCAGTATATTTCCGGGACAGCGGTTTGCAGTTCCACATTGCAGACTGTAGTTTACATGTTAATCATCTTGGGAAAGACCGGCTCTCCTATAGCATAAGCAGCTCTGGCAGTATTAGAGGGTGCCACTTGTCTTAACTAGACAAACTCACCTAGGCATTTCCACTGTAGCTATTAAAAGTGAGTAAAAATTATAAGACAGATTGTTCATTTCAGTCTTATTCCTTTTTTGTTTGCTTGTTTGTTTAGGCTACTTATTGCCCCTTCTGTGCCTTAGTTTACTGTCCTGTGAAACAGGCATATAGTGAAACCATTCAGAATTAATTAGTGCACATTCAGTATATCATGAAGTTAGTGTAAAATAAACATCGAAAGTGGTATCAGTTGGCAGTTGGCACAGTAATAGCATTTCTTTAATAACTAATAAACAGTTGCAATATAGTCACTATATTTATACTTTAGCATATCTTCAAAATATAAGAATTAGTCCTTTTAACAATATTACCATGACATTTTAAATTAACCCTCACAGTCCATATCAGGAACACTACATTTCCACAAGTTGTTTCATTGGATGGTATAGGGAGGGATGATGCTGCCCTGACTATAAATCTGTCAACATTCGTTATATTGAGTTTGTTATTGAAACTACTATTGGTGAATACAACTGGGAGTGTTAGCACTCGGGAAGCTGGGGCAAGAGGATCAGGATTATATATGGAAGACTATTTTAGGTGGTGTGGTAAGACAGGGTCTCAAAAAATACATAAAAAATAAGAGTGATATTTGCAAAGAAAGGTAAACAAAGTGGAGAGTCACCAGCAAATAAGTAGTAACAAAATACAGTAAAATCATAGCCACTATGAGTTCTTTCCAATGCAGGATGTGGCCTAAACTTAACCAGAAGTCAAGGAGTCCTGCAGAGCTGTTTAGAAACATACCCTACAGCTTTAGAAGTGACGAGAGCACACAGCCATAAATAGATATTGCTGAAAAATACTTCCTTTCATAGGGTTTACAATGAATGAAAATATCAGAAAACATCTACAAAGCGCTCTCTCTGGGAGAAGGGCTATGGTCATAGGTGGTTTAATTTTTTACTTTCCCTTTCTTTACTTTTCTTTCTGCTTACTGACATTTTTGAAATTTCTGTCATCAAAATGTTTATTTTGTACTAAGAAATACTCAAAGGAAGTCATTTAAAAATAATGCCTGATCTCTTCTCGCTTTGGTACAGATGGAGACAGTGGACACTTTCTACTTCAATCTGTCTTTGCTTGCAGCAGATGGTTTTTAGACAATCCTTAAAAGGCCAGAGTAGCTTTTCATCGATGCTTGTAGCACCTTTCATCAGAAACACCTTCCTCAAATAGCCATGACCCTCATTTTGGAACATCAGTGGAGCGAGCCTGTGTGTGTGTGTGTGTGTGTGTGTGTGTGTGTGTGTGTGTGTGTGTGTTATGTCCTTCTGTTAATTACATTTCTGCCCATAAAGATTACATCTGCAGAGACATGCACAAAAGCTCCTTTTTCCTCTCCAGCATCCGTCTATGCATAACGTGGAGATCCAGTTTTCTTCTAGACCATATGAATAGGGAATGTGGATACAGGAAGCTGACAAATTTGGGAGTTCCAGGAAAAAAAAAAGGAACCATAAAATAGATAAAACAATTAATTTAAGTCAGATGTAAATGAGGCATAATGGTTCAAATAATCAGTGAGAGGTGGTATTCTTGTCCAGATTTGGAGACAGGCAGGGAGAAGAGAAGGAAATGGAGGTGAACCCCAGTATGGGAAGGGTCAGAAAGGGTAGAGGTAGTGCCTCTGTGTTCTCTTCCTGCTACCGAGTATTGAGGGCTAGACTCAGATATTTAAGGAGCAATAAAGTCTGGCACTAAAGTGAGGTACTATTCACTATGAAAGATCATCTTAGAGTAACAAGAAATAGTCTTTTTGCATGAATTTAGCGTTTTCTAGAGCTTTGGGGTGAGTATCAGTGAACTTCCTAGTTCAAGACTGTCTGGGACTACTTCACCAGCTATACTATCACAAATTGTCAGAACTTAAAATGATCTCACTTGCCTCACTGAAAATTGCAGGCATATATCTCATGTCAAAAGCAAGGCTTGAGAGGTAATGTTCACTGGTTTCTTCAGGCCTACAATATTGTCACTGGACCCGGCTGTCCCTGCAACTATTAACAAAAAGGAAGTGCCTCTGGTTGGTCTTCCTGAGTACCTAGGTTCATAATCAGCCCCATGCAAACTCTCCGTTTTCTCCCCAACCATTGGGATAGATATCTCAGAGACACTTTGCTTTCTTCGGATATCCCAAGTTTGGTGACAAACTTCTTACTGGAAGTAAATATGGAAGTAAAGATTTGATACAAAGGGCAACAAGTACACAGACAACTCTACCACAATGTCTAAAGGCTCATCAGAACTTGAAAGCACACATTATAATACATCATATACTTGACTTAAAATAGTAAAAGATGTGCCTATGCCAGGATAAGAGTATAGTAACTTAAATGTAGTTTCCCCTTGAAGCAGGATCAACAATGGTATGGTTCCTGTCCAATCTATCTCCAACAGCAATAAGGATCTTAGTAATTATTTTATGTTCTGATGCCAGTTGACTAGATATCTAGTGAAATATAATGCATACTGCTTTTTATCTGAAAACTTTAACATTATTACTAAAGTTTTGGAAAAGGGCACAAACAAAACTCATTTTTTTTTTTACCAAGCTAAGTATAATAGCAATGAAGACAACAAGTCAGTGTATTAGTTACTTTTCTTTGTGGTGACATAGGCAACTTAGAGAAGAATGGGTTTATTTGGAATTATGGGTCCATGATGGTTGAGTACAGGCAGCCAGTGGCAGGCATGGTGGCCTGAGCAACATGCTCACATCTTGAACCTCAAGCATGAAGCAGAAATGCAGTAAGATATTTGATTACACTGTGTAAAAACAGATATGTCACCATGATTGGTTTGATAAAAAGCTAAATGTACAATAGCTAGGCAGGAGGTACAGGTGGAGAGAGCTCTGGGAAGGAGAAAGGGGGAGTTGTCAGCTAGATACAGAGGAAGCAGGGCATGCAGGAGGAGAGTTAAAAGTCGGGAACTTCGTGTCAGCATGGAGATTAATAGAAATAGGGTAATTTAGGTTGTGAGAGTTAGTTAGGAACAAGCCTAAGCGAAGGCTAAGCTTTCATTACTAGTAAGAAGTCTCCGAGTCGTTATTTGGGAGCTGGCTGGCAGAACAGAGCCTGTAAACTCTCAAAGCTCCTGCTCCAGCGACACCCTTCCTCAAACAAACCTATACTGCCACAAAGCTCCCAATCAATCAGCGCCGTTAGTTGGAAACCACATTGGGAATATCTCATTGAAACCACAACTAGATTTTCACACCTGGTTCATAATGTGCTTTATAACTCCCCTGAAGTGTTCATATATATAACCTGCCCTTCATTTCCAAATAAAATTTAGCGCATCGGGACCTGGAGAGATAGGTGGTCCTAGACCTATCACTTTTAGAAGAGTCAAAGAGGGTGAGTCATGAGAGTGTCCCAGGTCTGTCATCCTCTGCAATTCTGTGTGGGTTATTATTTTCCACCGAGGAGCAGAAGCAGAGGGAGGAACCCGTATCACAAAAATAAGACTTGGTAGAAACCTTATATCCGTTTAAAGTCTCCTGAGGGGAAGGAAGTTTTGATCACGTGGGCAGCAGGTCATTAGCAAATCATCAGCTCTGTAACATCAGGGTAGCTGTGAGAGATATGCCAGTACTGGCGAGCTGTGTGCCTGCAGGGCATGGCTCTACGTCATGAAATGGGTTACGCTCCTTCATGTGAGTCGGGGAAGAAAACGGGGCCAAACGGTGTCATTGGAGGGACGAAAGGCAGCCTTCATAGATACTACCACTGGTCCATTTATTTCCAAACCATGAAACAGCATTGCAAAAAACATCTTACGTGAACAGTCTGGACAGATGTGTGGGGCAGGAGCATCTAGGTAGAGACAGAAGGTGGTCCAAGCCTCCATTTTATTTCATTTTGCTTTTTAACAATTATGTGACATCTACATAAGCAATAATGATTTTGACATGCATTTACAGTTTCTCACCTCAAGCAAAATGTGCTCCTAAAATAAACATGCTCATTGTATCTAAGGCCCACATGAGCCAGAAATCCATGCACTTATTTAAAGACACAAACAAAAGCCAAGAATGCTGCCGTAAACTGCA